GCAAGATTTTGTCCAACATAAAATTTGGTTATTCTTGAGGTTGACATCCTTCATTGCCACTAGATAATTTCGAGCTGCTTTCTGGGTTTGAAAAAACAAAATCAGACAGTTGTCCATCGTTAGTCAGTGGTGCTGGCTTCACTCATTGTGCAAAGGTACTGTTTATAAGGTCGGGGAAACCTGCAGTCAGCTGACACTTGGATAAGTGAGGAAACGTTTCTCCCACTGAAAACATTACGTCCAAATGAACAGAACTTTTTGGGATTGCTTCCGTTCCTGGGTTTTTATTCTGCAGGCTGAAACAACTGCAGAATCCTAGCTAGAGGCAATGGCTCACCCACTTTCATTTAACCATTTCTCCCTCTAGCTGTTGTCACACAGGAAACTCTGGACAATTTGGGGAGAATCCTGATGGGAACAAAGTCAACTTTTCCCACACGGAGCTCTCTGAGAAGCATTTTTACTACTGCAGGTGTGGGCACTGCCTGGCTCAGGCATACATAAAGCAGCATACATTAGAAAGTTATTTTCTAATTTCTAACGTCGGCCTTACTGGATATCAGACGGGTTTGTACTGAGGGCTACATTTGAATTCTCACACACATCCTGATGTGAAAATCATGCCCTTTATTTGTGACTTCTTCACATCTGAAGTATTTTCTCTGACACGTCTTTGTTTCCTTTAAAGTTAAACCCAGAACAGTAACTTTGGTTTCCTTCTCTACACAACGTTTGCTGCCTGATAAATCACTGAATTTACCTGATTCTCTTCCTCTTCTTCCTCAGCTGTCAGGAGGATGGGGAGGGAAAGATAATGATGATGATGATGGTGGAGGGTTATCGCTCACGTGAAATAGACAATAACGCCGAGGCTCATGTGCCGTTCGGACGTTAATCCTCCATCATCCAGAGTGCAGGAATTTTACAAAGTGCAGACACACAATAACAAACAGTCGTCGGTGCTGTTTGGATTTAAACACACACAGGAAATAGAGCTTTAAAGGGGAGCTCCGTGTGTTTTTCTGTGCAGCTCCAGGATTAGGACGGAGGGTAAGAGGATTGGGTGCATAAAGAAATGGAAAGCTCCACTCTCCCAGAAATTAGCCAGATATATTCAGACATGAGCAGTTTGGTGTTTCATTTGAGTCATTCTGCAGCTGAACACAGGAACAGGAATGAACCACAGAGAGCACCGACACGCTCAGCTGACTTCCTGTTTATAGTTTTCTATATTAGTGACTTTTTATTATAAAAACTTACTCTGATCCTAAGTTTATCTTGTAATATACCTGATGTGAGACATATTTAATCCATAATATCCACCTTAGGAGACCCAAAGAACATAAATATACCACCAAATATTATTTTATTTATTTATTATTAACAGCAGGAAAAGTGGAATAAATCATTTTCTATGATCAAACTGACAAAACAATGATTCAGTCTCTTTGCCTTTTGTTACCTTCTTTGTGCAGATATGATGTGAATTCATCAGTAGAGTTGAAAAAATATAGTGCTTAAATTAAAAAAATCACTGTGTTGGATGAGTGAGGTTTAATTTGATAAATTAATAATCAAAGTTCCTTTGAAGATGAAAGGAAGCAGGTGTTTCTCGGACATTCCGTTTCATGTTTTCCTTGATGACAGTTAACCTGTTACTTTGTTACTGCAAAGAAGGAGAAGCAGAGTCATCCTCACGTTTATTCGTAATCACATATTTTCAGATCCAGAGAGCTTGGATCGACAGAACCTTCCAGAAGAGGGAATGTATCCAGATCATTCCCAGCAAAGACCCCAGCAGGTAACGACACAATCGAGTGCAGAACCTCGGAGAGAGAATTTTCTCTTCCTTTTTAATTTCTCTCACCGGACAGAATGATTATGAACGAGGAGACGAGGTGCGTTCAGTCACTTTCATGTGATCTTTATCAGCTGGTCCTCCTCCTCCTCATGCAG